TAATGAGTGAGATGCTTTTTAACATTGGCAAGGAATCTAACGACATTGCAATTCTATAACCCACAGAAGGACAGTAAGACTTTGCAGGATTTCAGTTATTGCTCTCTCCCTCCCCATAGCCCCTTGAAACATTGGGTTGTGGAGGCCCTCTGGAGCACCATGGTGGTGTTTGAAAGGGGACTGTAGAGAGGGGAAAGCCATAAAACACTGTTATCACTTTCCACTAGCCACCAGAAGCTTTCCTTGTGTGGGCAGAAAAAGTTCTTAAGCCTGAGGAGGAGAATGTCTGATTTGGAGTGGGAGGTAACCCTTGGCCCCAGTCTTAACTCTGATCTTCTTCACAAGAATGTGATGGGAGTAGAGAAAACGTCCTCCATCTTTAGCTCACTGGAGGAAAGGCGAGATAGGTAGATCTATAAACAGACAGATCTAAACAATAGAACTTAATGCCAGATTTCAAGATCATCAGGGAGATCTTTCTTTCAGTCCCACCACCTTCACAGGTGCACTTGGTGGGGACGCGGGAGAAGATCTTCTCTGTTGCTGCTTCCAGACTTTGGAACTCCCTCCCACAGGAGGCCAGACTGGCCCCATCTTTACTGTCTTTGTTAGCATGTACACACCTTTCTCTTCAGGCAAGCTTTCTCTCAATGACTGACTGTCTAGGAGACTATAAACTGGATGGTTTATATCTTGTTGCTTCTAAATCTATATTTGGTAATGCTTTTACCTAATATTTTTAATATACTGTTATTAATTCTTCTATGTATTGGAATAAATTACTGTTTTAGCTTTTATTTTTTTTTAATTATGCAAGCTGCCTTGGGTCTTTTTTTTTTAAGGAGAAAGGCAAAGTAAAATTATTTTAAATAAATAAATAAATCTCAATGGTTTTTAGAATGAACTAAGCCTAGATATAAAGTGTGGTTCTGTTCTGTATTGTGTTGGCCCAGATTTATTTTCCAGGTGCTAGGCAAGGAACAGTTCCTAGTTGACTTACTGAATGGTATCATGGTTTCACAGCCTGAGGTAAAACAGAAAATTACACCTTTGATTTTTATCTGTGTGGCTGGGTGCTTGCTGTCCAAGGCCATCTTAAGTGATCTCGGCACTTGAGGCAGTAAATCCCACAAGCACCTTTTCTTAGCAGGAAAAAGTAGGATAATAACAATTAGCTAACAATTTGTTGGCCTTTCTCAATGGTACTCAACTGGCCTGGGGGAGTTGTGTCTTGCTCTGCTTAATTGCCGGCCTGTCTGGAAAGCAGAGCTAAGCTAGTGATACAGCTCATCTTTTGTTCTTTCTCAATTTGTGCCAAGAGCAGTAGTTCTAGTGTTAAAGGGCTAATACATTTTTCCTCCTTCAGTTTTCTCCCTTCCTTGTGGAAAAAAAAAGGCTGTGTGACTTTCCAGTTGGAAAACCACTCTTCTGAGTTAGAACTGAGTTAGAATCATGGAGTCAAGTGACCTGTAAGGTCATCATGTCCAACCCCTTGCTCAAGGCAGGAATCCGGATCAAAGTAGATCTGGCAGAGGGTTGTCCCATTTTTTTTTTCTTGAATGCCTCCAGCGTTGGAGGTCTACTTGTGTTTTGCTGTTACCTGAAGATCCATCTACTGGAACCAAGATCAAAATGGAGGTGGATATCGTTCTACTAGAGAACGGTGGGAAAGAGATCATTAAACTCCACAAGAGGTGAACAAGAATGCACTGTACATCAAAGTCCCAACAAGTGACATACATGTTTGACTGCATATGAGGGATCTTATGATTATTTCAACCTTGGGCTGGGAGAGCACCATAAGACTTCTGCACAAAGAACTAGGACAACTTGGGCTAAGATCCCCGCATGGCGAGGAAGCTCATTGTGTGATCTTGTGGAAGTCACTCTCTCTTAGATTTGCCTATATCACAAAATTGTTGTGAGTAGAAAAATAATCAGTGTAACGGCGAAATCTCAAGCTATGGCTAGAGATGGGCTAGAAGAACAGCAATTGCAAGGCAGTTCCTGCATCTGTTTGTAGCAGAGGTGCCACAATCAGGAGAGCAGAACTACTACTACTATTCGGACCAGGGGCAAAGGTGAATGACCATATCACTTTTTTTCAGAAGGAATGTTAAAAATGTCCAAGAAGGCAAAGTTGAATTCCTGCTGCATCCGTCTTTTGGCCCCTCTGGCCAGAACATGGTCAACTTCACTTAACAAACTGGCTCCTGATTTTTTGATCTTGCCCTCGGAAGCAATTACTCAAGAAAGAGAGAGAGAGAGAGAAAGTACCCAAATAACACCTTCCCCCCTCCAGCAGAAAACTTGGTTTCCCTTATGTTTGCAAACAAAACCAGTTTACTGCTTATCAAAGATGATGTTTTAAAAACTGAAGGGATTAGATGAGTCATAAAATGGTGCTAGTCTGTGGCAAAGACCTAATGGATTAGAACAAAGAGAGAGGGAGAGGAGGGGAGACTTTTGATTCAATATGGGATGGAAGACATATTGTGAGGCATATTGTGTCTGGGTGTTTTACATGCAAATGCTGAGGATTTCCAGGATTCAGAGATAATCTGTCGAATTATCTCAGAATTTATGAGCAGTCCATCCTCTGGCTATCAGTGTTTTAGAGATTCTTAGTTTCTTTAAATGCCTGGCTTGTCACAGAGTGGGAAACAGAAAACTTCAACACAGGAATAGTTCACCCCAGGTGTACTTAGTACCACTCTTGGAGGGGTGTCTCTGCTTAGGTTTGAAGGATCCCATCCTGCATCACAATTTCTAGAGCTCACCCTATTCTTCAGAGTCCTTTGGCTCTTGGTGGAGCATCTGAAAGCTCTAGTATTTGGATCGCTGCAAGTCAGTTCTGACTTGACGCCGCATAACATAGAGTGGGTCTAAATAATATCCCCTTTAATATGCATAAAAAGATCAAGGAGGTCATAGATATATTCAAAACATGACAGTGCTCACTTTTAATGGGTTATAATTCTCTGATTCTAGAGTTGGAGGATGAAGTCATACAAAGGGGAGTACCACAAGGCTGTGTATTCATACAAGTGCTTTTTTGTTTGTACTCCAAAAATATCTTTAGAAATGCACTTAGGTGATTCAGATGACATTTTTTCCATGGAGGAGTTAATCTACAGTACCTGAAGCATTACTAGCTATCACATTCAGATGGGCTGTATAAAGACTGTGTAATAAAGACACCAAAGTAAGATCTGGAATATACAGAAGGCAAGAGCAGGCAACTGAGAGGTTGCATGGAGCCTTCTGCCTCCAAAAACCTTTTTTTTCCCCTTTCTCTCTTTGCTCCTTTTGAATGAAATGTTTGGTGAGCCCAAACATAAGGTCTGCACAAATTCACCAATGAATGGTTTAAAAAATGTATGTTGGTAAAAATTCTGGATGATTCCGGGAGGGCTTTTTAAGCCTTTCTGCACATGCAGTGAGATCTTCTCGATTTAAGAATATTATTTTTATTCCCTCCTGTCTCCCAAGCAACTCGGAGTAGTGTAAAAGCTTTTCTTCTGCAGGGATCAGTAAAGGGGATTGTCTTTTCTTGGGCAATTTTGTTCCAGCAGCACCCCTGGCTAGTGAAGTGCAAGCACGCAAGTTCTCAAATTGGTGCTGCTTAGCTTAATCATACCCACCCCTTCTCCTGCCCTCCTGGCTGGGCCCTGCTTACTGGTGTGGACAGAAAGAGCAAAATACTCATTCTCCACTCCCTGCTGCTCACACATGGATGCACGTTTCATTTTATTATTTATACCCTGCTTTTCTGTCAAAGATAACCCAAGGTGGCTGGTGGCGCTGTGGGCTAAACCGCAGAAGCCTGTGCTGCAGGGTCAGAAGACCAAGCAGTTGTAAGATCGAATCCACGTGACGGAGTGAGCTCCCGTCGCATGTCCCAGCTCCCGCCAACCTAGCGGTTCGAAAGCATGCAAATGCGAGTAGATAAATAGGGACCATCTCGGTGGGAAGGTAAACAGCGTTCCGTGTCTAAATCACACTGGCCATGTGACCACGGAAAGATTGTCTTCGGACAAAACGCTGGCTCTATGGCTTGAAGAGCGGGATGAGCGCTGCCCCCTAGAGTCGGACACGACTGGACAAAAATTGTCAAGGGGAACCTTTACCTTTACCTTTTTCTGTCAAAGATAACCCAAGGTGGTTGGGACATGGATGTCATAGGTCTTTCTGGAAAGTGGTTATACTGTGCCATTGCAATAAAACTGTACCCCTGAAGGAGCTGTTTTAGATCTCCTCGAACTGTGACATGAGTTCTGGTACTCATACTGAAAACAGGCTTGAAAATAATTTTACAAGCTTTGTGCAAGGATCCAGGGCTTGGCTGGTCCAAATCTAGCTTTTAGTAATTGCTTAACAGGATACTCCTTTCCTCCCTGGTTTGATCATTAAAAGGTACTTTCTTAGCAATCCCAGGTGGCTTTGGGCCCATAACAACAACAATCTGCACAAGGAAAGGAGCATGGTGGTAGTGGTGGCTGGGCTACATATTTTCTCGTAGTAAAACCACTATATATGGTGGTTGTTATGTCAGTGGCCTCTATACTCAGGTAAAATGTTACCGTATTTTTCTGTCTATAAGACGCGCCCCCTTTTCTAATCCAAAATTAAGAAACCTAAGTGGGGCTTAGCAAGTGTAGGGGGAAAGGGATCAAAGCGCTGCAGGATCGCTTTGATCCCTGCTTTCCCCTCCACTTGTTTTTGTTCTCTCCTCAGCTTACCTCAGTGTATAAGATGACCCTCTATTTTTCGTCTAAAGATTTAAGACAAAAATATAGTCTTATACATGGAAAAATATGGTACTTATTGTTCCACTCTTTAGTGAAGTGCTGTGCCTGCCTTCTGAAATGATTTCTCTTTTGAGATTCAATGGGCTTCCATGGGAGTACACTGAGAACTGGAGGCTTATGTGTTTGTCCTGGCATTTTCCTGATCCCTAACTCAAAGTGGGCCTTCTTTCCCCCTGTTTTTCCCTACAGGAGAACACTACCACAGAGGAACTGGAGCAGTTCGCCAAGGAGCTGAAGCACAAAAGGATCACGCTAGGTTTCACTCAAGCTGACGTTGGAATTGCCCTGGGCTTGCTGTATGGTGCGTATCCCAGAAGGGAGCTTGGGGGGGGTGGCATTGGTATTGAGCTGGGGAGTCTGAAACCACCAGCAGCATAAAATAATGTAAGCAGGGATTCAGGAGGTCAACCGTTTGCCCTGTGCCTCTTCTAATCTCAACACTCCCAGCCACAGTTGTCCTGTTCTCGCTATCTGCAGTTTCAGAACTAGTGGTTTCCCCAACCTTGGGTCTTCCAGAAGTTCTAAAACTTCCCAGAAGCCTTTGCCACCAGCTTTGCTGGACAGGGTTCTTGGGGACATCTGGGGACCCAAGGTTGGGAACCAATGGATAGTAAGATAAAGGGGGCAAAGGTTAGAGCATGGGACTTTTCTTTTTAAGGAACTCACTGCATTACTTACTACTTTGGGGCAATCAGGTTATTGTGAGTACTGCTGTCCACAAAACCATTGCTTATTGCGCCGGGTGGCAGAAAAATGCATATACCGTATTTTTCTGTGTATAAGACGCCCCCATGTATAAGATGCCCCCCCACTTTTCTAACCCAATATTAAGAAATCTAAGTGGGGCTTAGCAAATGTAGGGTTAAAAGGATCAAAATGCTGCAGGATGGCTTTGTTCCCTGCTTTGTCACTTCGTGCTAAGCCCCATGGGACTTAGCAAGCAGAGGGGAAAGCAGGGATCAAAGACATCCTGTAGCATTTTTCCTTTTGCTAAGGCTTAGCAAGTGGAGGGGAAAGCAGGGATCAAAGCCCTGCAGGATCACTTTGATCCCTGCTTTCCCCTCCACTTGTTTTTTCTTCCTCACCTTAGTTCTGTGTATAAGATGACCCTCAATTTTTAATCTAAAGATTTTAGACAAGAGTATAGTCGTATACACGGAAAAATAAGGTAAATGCTTCTGAGGTTGCGTCTAGAATTACAAAATTGGCCAGTGAAGAATATTTTTCTCTATTTTTCAGGATTGTGGGTAAACTAACATGTTACTAGTATGGAACACAATAATTATTTTCTCAGAGCGACAATAAAAATCATGGCAATAGAGAAGTACAGTAGGATCCCCTTATCTGAAGTTTCAGTATCCATTGATTTACTTATCCATGGTCTGAAAATATTAAAAAATATAGAAAGGAAAAATCTTAGAAAAACACATTTCTAAAAATGAAGTTACCACAACTGGCTACTGGAGGGAGCCAGATATAATATGTATAGTGTTCACTGTTAAAATAAGAGTTTGCTGTAATCTGTGTTTTTCAGCATCTATGGTGGGCTTGGAACTGATTCCCCCACAGATATGGGGATTCTTCTGTAATATGTTGACACTGAGTTCCTTTTAAAGTGTAATGTGTGGAGTTCTGATGGAGTAAGATGACACAGTGGTCTAGTTCAGAGTAAGACAGCTTCCTGGGCTCCTATATGCTGTTACTACGCATACGCTCTCTCCCTCTCCCTCCCTCCCCCCTCCTCTCTCATAAGATGACATATCCAAAAACTACCAAAAAATGTGCACAGCTCCCTCATTTTAGTGGCAAACGTGCTTGTGGGAAAGGGCCACATTTGAAATGTTTGTACAAAATGTGAAATTTCTGTGTGGATTAAGAAAAGAAATCCAATGAGAAACCTGAATGAAAAGAACTTAACTGTAAGCATGGGAGTTTTTTGGGAGAGGAGAACTCCCAATCCCATAAATTTGTGGAACCCCCCCTCCATGTTCCCACTAGTAACTTCCCCACTCACGAGGATTCCCTGCGACTCACAAGGGTGCACAGGGGGACAGGTCCTCCTACAGAGGCTGCCTCCTATCCCTTGTGAATCACAGGGAATCCTCATGACTTGCCAAAGTGCAGCCGGGTGACTTTCAGAGGCGTGAAGAAATGGTTTGGGAGCAGCGTGGAGGTAAGAGGACTGCTTGACCTTCTGCTCTTTGACAGCTCCCAGTCCCATAATGTGGCCTCATGAGTTTCCACTGAATCCTGGGACTGGAGATTTTTTTTTCCCCTCCCCTGAAAATCCCATGAGAATCTGAGGAACTGAGTTTGACAGATTCACCTACTTCAGAGTAGACAAGTAGCAGATTATGCAGTTACTCCGGCTGGCTGTTCTCTTCTAGCGTTAAGCCCATCAGGTTCCGGTCTTGGGATTCTAACCCAGTTTTTGGCTTGCTTCCTGCCACCCCACCTCATGTAGGGAAGATGTTTAGCCAGACCACCATCTGCCGCTTCGAAGCCTTGCAGCTGAGCTTCAAGAACATGTGCAAACTGAAGCCGCTTCTCAAGCGTTGGTTGGAGGAGGCCGACACCAATGAAAACTTGCAAGAGGTGAGTTCCCAAGAGGGGAATGAATCATATATCCCTCTGACTGCAGAGGAGTCTGTCTTTGGGGTGCTGGAACATATGTTAATTTATTTTGTATCAGTGTATTAATATAATCTGGGCACAGTTTTCTTGCAGGTTATCACACACATAAGGACAGTTGTGCAAGTGTCATTTTGCCAGCTGCCCCATCAGATTATCCATTGTGCTGACATCACATACTGTCAGGACATGACAGTATGTGATGTATGGCCTGATAAGGCTATTTGCACAGTTACCCTCCTGCGTTCCCAAATCCCTGCAGGATTCTGGCTTTTAGTTATTTAGTAGCAGTGATGTCACTTGCAGATGGACAGTGATTAAAGAGTTTCTGTTTCAATTTCGGAATGTGCTCAGGTTCATAAAATTGTGTTTGAGTCACTCTGGCACTATGGAGGCGGAGGTGTGCCACAGGATACTGGACAATTTACAAACCATCTGTGGCTAAATAGAATTGTTCAGTTGGTGCAAAGCTGCAAAACAAATGCTTTAAAATCAATACAAAAACACACAAAAAACTAAAACTGCAATTGTGGAAGCTGTAGCAGAAAGATCGATAGCGGGAACGAGGCTGAGATGAGACAGAGCAGTGGTTCCCAACCTTGAGTCCTCAGGTGTTCTTCGGCTGCAGTTCCCAGAAGCCTTTGTCACTAACTGTGCTGGGCAGGATTTCTGGGAGTTGCAGTCCAATAGCATCTGTGTAACCCAAAGTTGGGAACCAGCGTGGTAGAGGAAGGTTTGGTTACATGGACTGCAGCTTTGAAAATCCTTCACAGCCAATGGCTGCAGTCCATAAAAGGGAATTCTTTAAATGTAGTCCCCTATCATTTCTAGCTGGCTGGATAGCTTGATGAGTTAGAGCAGAGGTGTTTGATTTTCTATGGTGCCTGGTAGGAAAAGAGCTAGCTTATGTGCTTTTGTGACCCGCTTTTGTGATGGGAATAAATGCTTTTAACATGTGGTTTGAGCTTTATTACAGCTGAGGGGAAAGGTGAGCGAGTTAAGGCAAAAATGATGAAGAAAAGGTGAGTTTTCAGGAGTATTTGAGCACAGTAGGTGAAGAGAGAGCAGAATTTGGAAAGGGATTTTTTTTAAAAAAATCTTGATTTATTCATTGCTTTGAGGCAGAGAGGTGATCTTTATACTTGGTGTCCTCACCAGCACTACAGAAATTATATGGAGGAATGCTCTCTGGTGGCTATTTCTGATAATGTATGTTTAGAAACAGTAGCAACAATACAATCCACTACTTCCCTTTCCTTTTTGTTTCCACATACCTCAGACTACAAAATGACATAAAACTTGTAAAGTTTCTGTCAAAATCATTCTTTAAAAGTAACTGTTGAAAGTAACTAGAAAACATTGCTCATTATATAAAAGCTAACCTTTGAGCCATTTGTTCCATCAGTCTTGAAATATAGTTCTCCCACACTTTGTTCCCGCCCAAACGTAACTGTTTATAGGCATTTTTATTACTTGTAACTTATTCCTTCCAAACTGTGGCACGAAGATGTGGCCCCACATCCAGGTTTTTAAGGAGGCTGTTCCAGTGATATATGGCAGCCAAGCAGAATGGGTAAAAAATATTTTAAGGGAATAAGGCAAGTCTGTGATGGAGGGTGGTAGGTTTGAAGGGGGCTGAAGGTTATGAGGAAGTTTAATATGAAGGACAGAGAGTCTGTGCCAGAGGTTTTTGGGGCTAGAGAGCCAATTATGGCCTTGAGGGAAGGTGTTATGACCAGAACAACAGTGACATGGACAATTTTGGCTGGAGGGTTCTGGGAAAAGGCGGGAAGACTGAGATGTGAGGGAAACAGTTCACAATTTTACTTCCAAAAATCATTTGGCTTCGTTAAGCATTCAGAAATCCCAAGCTCCAAACATTCTTTTGTTATTGTTAACTTTAGTATGAAAATCTTTAATACGAAACGTTGATTGTTATATTAAGTATGTTTTTTAAATTAAAAAAATCCCCAAACTATAGGCACTCTGCACACCAGAGCTCTTACTCCTCACAAATTCTTCCAGAGCTGGAAATCATTTTCCTGAAAAACCTCCTCAGGCCTTAAAGAACTCCTTCTGCAAAAAAAATTGCTGTCATTTTTCCCCAAAGTGTCTTGCTAAATTAAAGCAAAATACAAAATTGTGTTTCCTCCTGCTAGAGTACTCCCAAAATACAGTGGTGCCCCGCACAGCGACGATAATCCATTCTGAAAAAATCGTCGCTATACGGATTCGTCGCTATGCGGGGCAAAAAAAACCACAGGAACACATTAAAACACGTTTAAAGCGTTCCTATGGGGGAAACACTCACCTTTAAGTGAAAATCCTCCATCCGGCCACCATTTTCGCTGCCTGGTAAGCGAGGAAAGGGCACGAAAACGCTGCAAGCGGCCATTTTTTTCCAGTGGCCATTTTGGAACCGCCGATCAGCTGTTAGAAAATCGATGGGGGGAAGGGATCGTCGCAAACGCCCCATTTTCACACAGCTGATCGGCGAGGCTGCGCGATCTTAGCAAAGGCCCGCCAATCAGCTGTGCAAAAATGGGGCATTTACGACGATCGCTTCCCCTGATCATTGCAAACGCCCCATTTTCGCACAGCTGATCGGCAGGTCTTTGCTAAGATCACGCAGCACCGCCAATCAGCTGTGCAAAAATGGGGCGTTTGCGATGATGGGGGGGCAAGCGATCGTCACAAAGCGATTTTTCCCCATAGGGAACATCGCAATGTGATCACAAAAGCGATCGCAAAATCTTCTTCGCTATGCGGATTCATCATTAAACGGGGCACCTGTTAAGCGAGGCACCACTGTACAATACTTTCCTTTGATGCTCTGGCAGAGAAAAGGATCGAGGCAAGATGGAGATGAGTGGGAGAAGGAAAGAATTCCCAGTATATTTCAGAATACGCTGACTGAGGATCATGACTGAAGCCTCCAGTGCCACCTTGTGATGGCTATAAGCATGAAAGTTTATGAGCTCCTTTTCTCAGCCTGGTGCCCTCCAGACGTTCTGGACCTTGATGGATGAGAAATGTGTGGGGCTCAGAGATTTTTGCAGCCTTATGCTATTTGTGCACCGCAGTCTCCAGAGTTCAAGGGATTCCTTCTCAGATAGAATTCCATACATTTCTGAGCTCGTGCTGGCAATTTACTCAACAGCAGGAAACATTTGAAGAGAGAAAATAGGCTTGGAATAATAATTATAATAATAATTTTTAAAAAGTGTTCATATGTTAACCCATGGGGGGGAAATAGGTACCTTTCACAGACATTTCTCAGGTGGCAGGGAAGCTCTTGGTCTGATAAGATTTGAGGTGAAATGAAGTATAAATTAGAGAATTTGAGTTTTGAAGTGAGAACTGGGAAGCCCTGGGGAGTTCAGGCTTGCCTGTTCCTAGTTTTTGACAGTAATGCCCATGAACACCAGCCACTGTTGGGCTTGTGAGGATGGTAGCAGGAAGACATAGTACAGCTCCAAGTATCACCAACCAGAGTTCTCCTCCTCTGCCCAGCAACTGTGCTCCATGGAGGCAGCCGTGGTCCAAGCTCGGAAGCGCAAACGGACCAGCATTGAGGACCCTACGAAGGACGTCCTCGAGGCTTACTACCAGCGCTGTCCCAAGCCCAACCTGCAGGAGATCACTCAGCTGGCTGAGGACCTCGGAATGGAGAAAGATGTGAGTGACGCCTATCCCAGTCTTAACTTCTCCTCAGGTAACCGAAGGCACCCCTGATCCTTTAGGGGAAACCAGGGCCTCCATAAAACAGCTGATTTTAAATGTCTAATGTACAGTGGTGCCTCGCATTACAAGCGCTCCATTTTACGACGAAATCACTTTACGTCGATGTTTTTGCGATCTCAAAAGCGATCGCTTTACGATGTTTCCTATGGGGGAATTTCGCTTTGCGACGATCGGTTTCCTGCTTCGGGAACCGATAATCGCAAAGCGATGATTTTACAACAGCTGATCGGTGATTTCATAATGGCCGCCGGGTAAAAAACATGGCTCCCCGCTCCTTTCTGGGATGGATTCCTTGCTGCACAGGCAACGAAAATGGCTGCGCTATGGAGGATCTTCACTGGACGGTGAGTTTCAAGCCCATAGGAATGCATTAATCGGGTTTTAATGCGTTTCTATGGGCTTTTTAATACGTCGTTTTCGTTCTACAGCGATTTCACTACAACAAATTAACGTAGTGCGAGGCACCACTGTACTTTTTGTCACAGTGTAGTACTTAAGGAGGCAAAACGTTTTGCTTGTTAAGTCACAGCTCCGTTCAGCATGGCTGGATGCCTTGGCTAACTCGGTTCTCATGCAGCTGCACGTTGTAATTTCAGGTTTTAAGTATTCAAAGCAGAGCTGGCTTTCTAGTTCTTAAAATGTTGATTCTCACCAGACAGTGTGTGGTGTCTCAGTGTCACAAGACAGGACAAAAAAGCTTGGTGTTCTGTTTTCTTTTACAAGAGGAAAGGCAGGGCTAGAAATCAATAAACCAATGAATGACTAAAAATCCAGACAGCTGTTTCTCCCCAGAAGCCCGCAGGGCAACACCTTCCCTTCTTCCTCCACAACAAAGCCAAATATCTGTCGAATACAGTGCCCTGTTTGCCTCAGTGGCCAAGTGAGTGCCTCAGGAGGAGGAATCACAAGCAGGGCCCTCCTCTTACATTCCCCAGTAACAGGTGTTGGGAAGCATACTGTCCTTGAACCTGGAGGTAGCATATGAGTATCATCATCACCACCACCATCAAATCTCTATCTTCACCATCTTCCATCTACTCATCTTCTCTCTCTCCTCCTCCTTCTCCTCAGTAGTTTACATGAATTGCCTCTTTCCTCCAGTGAATTGAAGGCAATGTTTGTGGCACCCCCCCACAACCCTCTATCCTGTCAACAGTGTTGTGAAATAGTTCATTCTAGGAGAGACTGACTGGCTCTGGATCACCCTGTTTATGGCTAATTGGGGGTCTAGAATCTGGATCTTCCAAATCCCAATCTAACACCCATCTCTGCGTCACACTAGCTAATGGCCACCAATAGCTTCATCCGTCCTGACAGCAATACAGCGGTGCCTCGCTAGACAGTTACCCCACATGACAGTTTTTTCGCTGGACAATGTTTGGTCCCTGCTTCGCAAACCGATTTTCACTAGACAATTTGCTTTTCACTAGACAATGATTTCACTAAACAGCGATTTCAGTGGAATGGATTATCATCGTCTAGCGAGGCACTACTGTATCTTTTGTGCCTGGTATTCAGAGGTGTCTTGAGTATTCCTGTGTATGGAGAGCCTTTCTAGTGAGGGTTGCTAGCCTAGACTGGTCACCACTGCCACAGCTTTGATTGAATCCTACAACTAGTTGACAACTGTGCAAAGCACTTCTGTCTATAAACCCTTGAATCTACTGCCATTTGATTTCATGGGTCTGATGCTTAGAGTAATGGAAGTACTCCTTATTAATACATTTCATGCCATTCAGTCCTTAAAGCCCTCCATCACACCCTTCTCTTTAAAATCATGATTTCCTTCTCCAGGTTAAGTATCTGTGAAGGCATTTAATTGCTTTTCATAGGATAGATGCTCTGTCTCTGATATATAAATTTGGTGTACCTACAGCTCTGCTATCCTTTTGGAAAAAAGGCAAACAGAGCTGTGCTTAACATTGCAAATCTGACTGTTCCGTAAAACATTTATGCACAGCGACAATGGTAAATTAGGGTCACTCTGTAACCGGGAGGAGGTCACAAGTGGGATACCCCAAGGCTCAGTCCTGGGCCTGGTGCCCTTCAATATCTTTATTAATGACTTGGCTGAGGGAGTTCAGGGAATGCTTATCAAATTTGCAGATGATACAAAATTGGGTGGAATAGCTAATACCCTAAAAGACAGAAACAAAATTAAAAATGGCTTTGATAGAATGGAGAACTGGGCCAGAAGCAACAGAATGAAATTCAACAGGGATAAGTGCACTGCACTTTGGAAAAAAGAAACCAATTGCACAGTTACAAGATGGGGGATACCTGGCTCAGCAAAATTATGAGGGAAAAGGATCTTTGAATTGTCGTAGATCACAAGCTAAAAATGAGCCAACAGTGTGATGAGGCTACCAAAAAGGCAAATGCTATTTTAGGCTGCATTAATAGAAGTATAGTTTGCAAATCCCACGAGGTGCTAGTTCCCCTCTATTCAGCACTGGTTAGTCCTCACGTCGAGTATTATGTCCAGTTCTGGACGCCACACTTCAAGAAGGATGCTAACAAATTGGAACAAGTTCAGAGGAGGGCGACAAGGATGATCAGGGGGCTGGAAACCAAGCCTTATAAGGAAAGGCCGAAAGACCTGGGCAAGTTTAGCCTTGAGAAAAGAAGACCGAGGGATGATATGATAGCACTTTCCAAATATTTGAAAGGTTGTCATACAGACGAGGGGCAAAATCTGTTCTCAATCATCCCAAAGTGCAGGATATGCAACAATGGGCATAAGTTAAAGCAAGCCAGATTTCGGTTGAATATCAGGAAAAATGTCCTTACTTTTAGAGCAGTACGAGAGTGGGATTTGGTGAGTGCTCCAACACTGGAGGCATTCAAAGAAAAACTTGGATAATCACCTGGCAGATATGCTTTGATTGTATTCCTGCACTGAGCAGGGGGTTGGACTTGATGAGCTTGTAGGCCCCTTCCAACTACACTTTTCTATGTTTCTATGACCCTATGAAAATAACAAGAATTGTTGAGTTGAAAGAGAGCCCAGGAGCTGTCTTGTCTAACCCTCTGCTGACGCAAGGAATCAGTAGCTAGAAGGATTTCTAGTGGTGCTATTTTTTAAAATCCCTTCTGAAGTTGCCTGTTTCACTGAGCCTACTCACAAGATCATGCCTGGGTGACTGAAACTAATTCAGGCTCACTAATTTTTGGAATAGGGCAGGATATGTTCCAACTAAGGTACTGAATATTACAAAGATCTCAGTTACTGCTGCTGCTTTGAGTTCAAATGATGGAACTGCTAATCTGGTACCTATGTGTGTCTCTATGTGATACAAAGGAAAAACAGAGAGACTACTCTGTTTTCTCTATGTGATACAAAGGAAAAACAGAGACTACTACTGTATGTTTCCCTGAAAATAAGACAGTCTTATATTAATTTTTCCTCCAAAAAACACATTAGGGCTTATTTTCAGGGTATGCTTTATTTTTTTTCATGTACAACAATCTATGTTTATTCAAATGCAGTCATGTCATTTTCTTCTGGTTGCTGTACAAGGGCGGAGGGCGGGGTTTCACTTAACGGGGGCTTATTTTGGGGGTAGGGTTTATATTACGAGCATCCTGAAAAATAATACTAGGGCTTTTTTTTCAGGTTAGATCTTACTTAACAGGGAAACAGGATATATGGGTACCTCCCCTTTTACAATCCCTAGACTTTCAAGCAGAACTGTCAAAAATCATGGAATAGCCGCTTGGGTTCTGGAAGCCATAGGCCAACAAATTAACTTTTCCACGTTCTGTTTCTGAGGTCATAGGGGAGAAGACGGGACATGGACTTACATTTCTGGCACCCACGCTGTGTTGCTTTCTGTTTTTAAATATATAACATTAAGTTTCTAATTGACCTCGAAATAATATGCAGCTCCCGAATTTAATACACACATAAGGCTCGACAAACTGCCAGATCCCTGTTGTTCCTGATTTAAAGATCCGAACAGAGGGAGAGGGTGGATTTTTAGAGATCTCCACAGTAGGAAGTCAAAAGAAATGTGAGCACCTTGTGTGTCGGGACACCCTCCCGTTGGCCCAAAGAAGGCCGTTCCAGAACTCTTGGTTAGGGAAGGGGGTTGCTTACGAGATGGGAAGTGGAAGGGGGACGGGCGGGCACAGAAATGGAGTATCTGGCACGGAGGCGTTTGTGTGTGTGTGTGTTGAGATGCAGAGGGGTGTTTCCCGGCAGTAAACATTCTTCTCTTTTCCTTCCTTTTTTCCCTCCACAACGTAGGTGGTTCGTGTCTGGTTCTGCAATCGTCGCCAGAAGGGCAAGCGCAACATGGGAGTAGCTCCTCAGAACTGTGAGGGCCTTGCTTTCTCCCCCGGCCCGCTGCAACCTGGGCCCACCTACGTGCCCCAGCCCCAGGGCTACGGACCCCCTGCGCTTACGGCTGTCTTCCTCCCCCCGTTTCACGATGGCGAGGCCTTTGTCCCTGCCCCATCTGGCTCTGCAGTTGTGGGTCACCCTATGCATTCCAGCTGAAGGGCCCTTTTAACCAACCCACCCCCTCCCTCTGACTTTTTAATCCAAAGGATATCCTACTTTTGACTTCTTCTTTTTTCTTTTTCTCTTTTTTTTTAAGCACTAGGTCCCTTTAGGAGGCTCCTAGGATTGGTTTGTTCAGTTGTTCTTGTTGTTTTTGTCTCTTTTTTAAAAAAACATTATAAATCAGGGATACAGATCTTCACAGCAAAGATCTTCATTAAAATCGTGATCACTAGTCACAGCTTAGACTTGATACTAAAGTCTGAGCTGTGGCTTGTAATCATGATTTTAATCTATTCTTATTACATTCTCAAAGTAAAATGTGCTTCTAGATGCTTTTAGAATAAAGTTATTTTTCCCCTCTGACAATAGGCTTTAGTTCCCTAGAGCCCACAGTGTTTGCTGATTTCCGTTACAGTCGTAGATATGTAAGTGAAGAGGAAATTAATCCGGTAATATCCTGACTCTTTTCTTCCCCATCCTTTTCAGTAATGAAAAGGACCTGCAATATTTACTCCCTAAATAACACTGTCCTGTTAAAATCACTGGGGTTCAGAAATGCTTTAGATAGTGTTATTTGGGGAAATAGCAGATGAGATTTAAAAATCGTACTATTTTCAATAGGTAGGTGGGGAATCAGGAACTTGAATTGTACTTTAGAGCAATGAGGATCATTCACTCCAGAGCCAATGTCTGTATGTCTCCTGTTAAATGGCATGACGGAGGATTTACACCATCTTAAACTCATGGAAGAGTCATTTATAACAGTGACTCTTCCTTGAGTTTAGCATGGTGTATATTCCTTTTCCCCTTCCTTGTGGCATTCCAGGTTCTGAAAACCAGTAAGGAGACATCTAAGATTTCTTCAGTACTTCCTTCCCTCATATATTTGCTTTTCAATAATTACTATTTTTTGGGTGTGGGAGAGGAATTGTCATATTTTCTCTGGTGGGGGAGAGGTTTTAATGTTTTTAAGAATAAAATCAATTTGGTCTCTGTACTCAAAATGTCTTAATGTGCTCTTGGCACTCTGAATTGTATGCATGAGACCCCTAATAAAATTCTTAACCATACTGTATGTGTCATCTTTTTTTTAACCAGGTAAGGATTTTTATGAGTTAATAACTTGCCATGGTTCATCCATCTTTGCTGCCTTTTATTACTTACCCTTCCTCCCTGCTAGCAATTCTGCTCATTAGCCTATGCCTTCTCCTACTGAACTGTTTTATTGACGTATGTGAAAAGGGTGTTCTGTTTAGTACCCGTGATTTTAAAGGACTGTCTACTTTAGGAGGGACTCCAATGATCTCAAATCTGTCTTCTATGCCTACCTATCAAAGTTTGGAAAAATTACTGCTTAGGGCTAGAACTGTCAGAATCTCTGCAGCTTACAAATCAAATAAATAATAAATAAATAAAGTTTGGAAAAATTACTGCTAAGGGCTAGAACTTTCAGAATCTCTGCAGCCAGCATAGCAAACTTCTCATGTTCCCCTAAGTTAAGGAGGTTTTTTTTTGGGGGGGGGGAGAGGTTGAACAGTAGCTGCTTAGGGAGCTTGGAAGAGTAGAGAAATAGAGTACAGAGAGGCGATCAACATCTGCTGCCATCTTCAGTTGAGTGACAGGGCAGGAATAAAGACCAAAGCCCTCCCTAAGGACTCCATGTCATCACATAGCAGGTAGCATTTTCACTATTTGGCACCAGTTGCAGGAGGGAGGCATCTGGTTGGGTACGTTTTGTCACATTCCTGTTGCTGTTAAAATACATGGTGCTCAGTTGCCAGTTTTCTAAAGGGCTGCTCAAACTTCTATGAATTCTAGCCCACTTTATGAAACCTTTGTTTCCATTCTTCATATGTATATAGACAGTTGTATGACTGACCTCTTTTGCATTTTTTTTTAAAAAAGCCAACTTTGGAATATATTGGGAGCTGACTAATGATCGATGTATTTTAATACATCATTCAAACAGAAGCATAGATCTGGTTGCTTGCATGGCTGTCTAGTGCTCCCCTTGTTTTGGACACAACACCCATCCAATTTAGACAAGGTGCACGATGGTAGGGGTTGTGGCTGACAATATCTGGAGGGCATAAGATTAAGCACTCTTCTGTGATGTCTTCAAACTAAGGACCAGTTGGTAGCCATCATCTTAGCAGGAAGGGACTACGTTTAGAACAGGGATCACGCCAGCCACTCCCTTTTATCCTTTGGCAGACAGCTGAAGACCCATATTTTCAGTCAGGCTTTTAACAATCATGACTGAGTCCTTGAATGCCATTTTAAAGTTAAGATTGTTTTTAATGTTTACCTGCTTTTAATTATTTGATTGTATTTTAATTAAGAGTACAATGGTGCCTCCACTTATGACCGTAATCCGGAATGGTCGTTAAGTCGAAGCACCATTTCCCATAGGAATGCACTGAAACCCCATTAATCCATTCCAAAGAAAAAAATCACCAAAAATCACAGCAAGAATCTCTGGAAATGCAATTAATCCCTTCCGGCTGAAAGGGGGGGGGAAGCAATCAAGTGTGCAAGACCCATTGCAAATGCACAGAAAACAAACGGAGCAGATTGGAAATGCACAGAGAACAGAGGAACAAGGTCAGAAATGCGAAGGAAAAAGCAAGGGAAGCATGCAGGACCCAGCAGAAATGGGGGGGGACCCAAAAGCAACCAAACTCCCCAAGACCCATTGGAAATGGGCAGGGAAAAAACCCAAAAAGCAAACAAACCCCCAAGACCCATCACAGCACAGAAACCTAACCCCCCAGCCTAAATCCACACTGCAAAAACACTCATAAGTTTTGAAAAAGCAGAAAACAGCCCCTTACCTCCCTGCACACACACATATGCTCACTCCGGATCACCCCTGCAAACACACACATGCTCACTCCGAATCACAAGGAGGCAGTCCCAAGCCTCTGACAAGGACACACTCTAACTGCCAGGACGAAAGAGCTACAAAGAAGCAGCCACTTTTCCCACCTATAGTTAGCAGTTTGAATTTCCCACCTTTTTTCTGTTCATAAGTGGAAGCTCCCGTCACAAGTAGAAGCAAAATTTTGCAGCCGGAGCTGGTTGTAAGTCAAACTGGTCGTAGGTAGGGACATTTGTAAGGGGAGGCACCAATGTATAGGTTAATGGTTTTTTATGTTTGTTATGTTTTTAATTCTGTTCTTTTAATATTGTGAGCTGCCTTGGGCCCCCTTAGTTGGAGAAAGGCAGCTTATATCTTCTCAAAACGTGCATCTACCACAAGTCCAATAGTCCTCTGTATATGAATGAGTAAAGTCAAAAATGGTGGGCAACTTATATCAGAAAGCTTGCCCATTTTTACCGAGTCATCCAAGAAGCAAACATGGACTGGCTCAGGCAAAAATGTGAAATTAATTGGAAAAATGAATGTTCTGAAACCCTGGCTATCATTTTACTCAAGGGCAGACAACTTGTGCCTTTCAAGCAGGGTGGGACACCTGATGGATCACAGCACCTCCCAGGAGCTCGCCACCTTGACTACGCTAGTTATGGCTGGAGGAGACTTGTGGTGCAACAACAGCAGGCATGCCACAAGCTGCCCATCCTTCTAATCAAAAATCTTCAATCCGATCACGGCAGACCATGAGAGAAAGGGGGAAAAGGAGGAAAATCCATCCCATCACTTTATTTTAAAAACAAAACAATATGGACAGGACATACCAACTTTGGAGTTTGGGTTTATTTCAGTAATTTGTGAGCAAATCGGTTGCAAAATGACAAAAGCACAGAAATAATTAAATCTTCCTTCTTTCCTCAAGATAACCTCGCTATACGGGGCACCACTGTAAATCTTTCTTCTTTCCTCAAGATAAAAGCAATGTGGGAGATGTCTGCAGAAATAAACTCTCTTCCCCATCTCAAAAATTTAAGAGCCTTTGGTTGTTGCCAGATTGTTTTCATTACGAAAAGCTCCTCACGGACATATAGGTGTAGCTCCAGCAATTTTGAAAGCAGCGAATGTTAAACTACACTCCGGACACAAGAGATAATTGAATGTAGGGGAACATGGCTTTGTACAATGAAGGTTGTCTGCTAAAGGTGCACATATAGGGTGTGTAGTCAGTGCTGAAACAGGCTCCAACCCACAGTGCCACACTTCAGACTTAGGTGGTCAGGTTACAGCAGGAGTGGGCTGCCCGACAGCCCTAGGGTCAGTCAGTTCTGAGATTCCCAAGGACACCTGAGCACTTGTCTTTAAAAAAAAAAAAATAGAGTAATCAATTTTAAAAATTGATGACAAAAACCCTGTTTCCTCTCCTGGAGGCCTGGCAGAACAGAGGTTCTTGCATAAAGATCTGTGGTTGGGCCCTTGAACACCACCACCCCCACCGAAACCAGAACTGCCCATTCAGATACTTCCTATTTTCATTATTTTGTGTATGTGTGTGTGCGTGTGTGTATCTGGGGGAAGATGGCTAACCTTAGCCATTTCTGGCTCTGATGGAACAGAGTTCAATTCCGCACCCAAAGACTGCCGAGACTGCCCACCCTAACCCAGTCACCAGGCCCTACAAGATGGCCAACATGAGGCTACATTTCATTTCTAAAGGAGGGCCTTGCGAGAGCAGAGTATGCTCCGCTTCTAGTCTTATGCCAAAAGCCCAAGTCAGAGAAGGCCCGAGCCAGCAGGGACAAGAAGAAGGAATTCTGGGGTTTGGGGTGCCCAGAATAACCTCTCGAGGTCCAAAGGGCTGACGTTCCACTGCTCTAGCAAAGAGGCCTGCCTACAGGCCAGGATGTACAATGGCCGGGCCTAAGCATGCAGGTGCTGTAGCTTGTTCTCTTCCTCTGTCCTACTCCCTTCTATACTTCCCACTGACATTCAAGGAGGAGGGAGTGGGGTGCTGCTGTCTTACATACCAGGACAACGGCTTGCTTCTTAACTCCAGCTTTTCCCTTTCTTTCATAAGGGGAAGCACTGGTACATAAAACCCTCCCTCGCACATACCCTGGAGCATATGCAACCAAGCTCTTCTGTGTGTGTTACTAGCGGGTTAAAAGCCAGACAACCCTAGGACCAAAAAAATAAAAAATCTTGGAGAAGTATTCTTGAATAGTGAGATTAAAGCTACAGATCTCACTTCTTGATGCAAAACTCCTTAGACGACACACCATTTAACAAATCGAAGTGCAAGCTTTTGTAGACCACAGGCGATTTGTCAGCAGGGCTAGAAAAATAATATCACAGAGCCTGCAGTATGAGTCACTATGCTTATTGTCTACTGATTTGGGCTTCTGGCATATGACAATGGTCTCTCTTCTTGCATTTCCTTGCTTTTCGCCCTCCCTGTGCATTAAACCTTCTGGCATATGACAATGGTCTCTCTTCTCCTTGCATTTCCTTGCTTTTCGCCCTACCTGTGCATTAAATCTCTTTATTTCTATACCTCTGTGTGCCATGTTCTTATCTGCACATTGACCAAGGGTAATATTTCACGCAAACCCATTTTTTAGCCTCTCAGGCACAGCAGGCCATTGGGGGTTTTTTTTGTTTTTTTGTTTTTGCTGCAAAAGATAAAGAACCATGTTAATGGGATGGGAAGTGGACAGCTGTTCGTTGCTTTGCCTTGTTCTCTTATGAAAGTGGGGGCAGGCTTTTTCGTATCAAGTGTGTCCATGTGTGATGAGAGCTGAGCCTTCTTCCGCCATCTGTTTCTATCCCAGTCTCAGAGGCAAGAGATAGGAAAGTTAAAAACATGCTGAGATCAAGCAGATACCCATTCTCCTCCTCCGTAGTCTTCTTCTTTCAGTGTAAAAACCTGCATATGCTTTAGATATGCAGAAAGAATACCTCTGTCCTTGAGCTTTCAGTAGCCCATCAGCTCAGGTTAAGGCATAACTGTGGTGGGAATTTAGCACTCCGTGATTTTCACTTATTTCTTCACCTTCTCCCTGCTTGTCTGTCGTAAAGCATGAGAGAACACGACCCTCCTCCTCGTTAATGACAGCACACACTTGTTCTTGCAGAACAGACACAATGTCATTTTCTTCATGTGAACCCAAGGAGCAGGTAAGCTTTGAAAGCATCAGA